ATGCAGTTCATGGGTGCACGCCTGTTCAGCCTGCCTGTGTGTCTGCAGGTCAATCAACGGTGTGTCTGTAGCAGGATCTCTCCTGGGCTCCCTTTAGTTCTTGTGCGTCTGCCCATGTCTTTCTGGCCACCTTTGTTTCTAACTGAGCTCCCTCTTCGTGCATATTGCCTTCCCTCTTGCCTTCCAGCCAGAGCCCCCTCCCCTTCTCACGCCTTTTCTGTGAACAGCAGTGGCCCCTTTTCTGTGAACAGTAGTGGGCTGGTAGGATGCTTGTCCTTTCGTGATGGGCGGGTTTCCCTCAGCATCCTGGCGGTGAGCAGTACAGCACATCCGCTGCTGTTCTTTCTAACGGTGCCTAGCACTCCGGGAGCCTGGTGGCATAGTGGTTACACATTGTGCCGCTCACTTCACGGTTGGCAGTTCAAAATCACCAGCTGCTCTGATGGGGGAAGACGAGGCTTTCTACTCCCCTATAGAGTTGCCGTCTCTGAAACTCACAGGGGCAGTTCCACTCTGTGCCGTGGGGTTGCTGTGAGCCGGCATGCACCGAATGGCAGTGGGTTGGGTTTGGTTTCTAGGGTTCCACTGTGTGTATGAACCGCGGTTGACTTATCCATTCTTCCACGGGTCGGCAATTTCCGTCATCTTACTCTTGCGAACACGTGCCTCATAGCACATGGATGTCCATAGACCTCTTAGCACCTCGGCTCCTACTTTGCGGTGTGGTTATGCATTGGGCTGCCAACTACAAGGTCAACAGTTCAAAACCACCTGCCGCTCCTCTGGAGGAAGATAGGCCCTCCTACTCCTGTAAAGAGTGACAGTCTCGGAAACCCACAGGGGCAGTTCCCCCCTGTCCTCTAGGGTCGCTGAGTCAGAAGTGAGTGGTGGTGAGTTTGGTTTTGATTTGAATACCAAGTGGAGGGACGCTGGGTCGCTGGGGTTTGGGAAGCGCCATATCCCCCGCTGACAGCGCGCGAGGGCTCCGTCTCCGTAGCAGCGTGGGCACTTGGTTCTGTGGGTTAGGGACTTTGCTGGTCACGGGGAGTCAGACGTCTTGAGTGGCATCTCTCCGAAGGCT